ATATAATATGTTAAAGGACCCGTACTCGATACATTTAATAAATCGCACGGGTTATTTCTACGTTGAATACCCTTAGTCACATACATCCTGGTCCTGTAAACTGTCGAATACTAAAACGTATCTTTTCACAGAAATACAAACTACAGAAATACAGAAATACAAAAGTTCCCAAATTCTACGCTATCCCGAAGTGCCTGGATAGTCGTACCCACTTATAAACTTACATGACCACAGATCACTAATGATTTCCCCATTGACTTTAATGTTAATTCTCGCCTCTTAGACCGACTCTAACTTTTCCCCAAATTTTCGTTGGGTAGAACGCTTTCTGCCACAGATGGAGCAACATGTGGCAACTTCTTGCTCAAAAGCAAGTCTTTCATACAATGCAGTATTGAAATTCATTAAAGGAGAGAGAGAGAAATGGGGGTTAACGTCCACTCGACACAAACTAGGTCGTTTCGGGACTAATTCATTAAAGGAGCTACGTAACAAAATTGTATAAATCTACCGAATACGTCTGGTTTTGAGCTGCATGCAAGCTTTATGTGCCATTTTCTTCAAATATGTGCGTTTAATTTGTATACATAAACCAGATTTTATCAACGAATACTCTGTGAAATCTGTGACCGTGTCTTTAAACTCCAATATTTCCCATTATTACTTAAAAGCCATGTTTGTTATTGATAATTATAAGTGCGTCTATTTAATATATTTGTAAAGACGAACCATTTTTTGTATCAATTGTCAAATATCATAAAAGGTCAATAACCCTTTGATTAGTCCTGAGACCCACTTGACTTAAAAGAACGGAGAAAGTCCGGTTATTGTAGTCAGGTTTTATAGCGCTTTTTGTGGTAAACAGCCGAGGGATTTGTTGGAGAAAGGCCAGTATATAAAATCAAATGGTCAATCTGTCAATTATAGAAGTAAATCAGTCGAATAATTTGATGACCCCGGTTTTGTAATATACGATCCATTTTAAATATACGACCAATATGGCCGATCATTGAAGGGTGACAAGAATAATAACCTAGATGTTTTGGTTTCGTATATTTTATTTCGTTTAAGGGATCACAACAAATCATTAAAGATACATTATGTAAGATTTAGATAAAGAGCTAGCCATTCTTGCTATAACAGTTCGAAAAAAGATAATGTAAAATGAACAATTTGAAAATTTCATTCAAATTATTCTATTGCGAGCGAAGATATTAGCCTTTGCAGGTTTGATAAGACGTGTGCAATAATTTCAATCATCATACTGGTTGTTCGAAGCTAAGTCTCGCTCCTCCATTTTAAGCTTAAATCAAAATATGGCTGAACTATACTAATCTATTTAATATCGGAGAAATCTAATACCATCGAGAGTTGATTATGGCCTTTATAAGTTAATTAATGTCTAATTAATAATTTAGAAAACATTTCAGGCCTAAAGAAAGGCCTACAATAGGCAGATTTAGCTCTTGCATAATGTATGTTCAACGTCTTTCTTCAAAATGTAATCGTATATGGAAACTCAAAAATTATGTACTGAACATCGGCTTTTACATCAGTAAATGAATCCACTTGGAACCATTTGCCTTTATGCCCTCTTTTCCGTTAGACGGTCAGAAACATTTCTTCACCTGTTACGCCCCATGAAATGATATTTTTGGGTGTGGGTCGTGGTGGTATTTAACATCAAACATATTTTGCAGGGCGGATGTTTGGGGGGGGGGGGTAATGAACATATCTCCCTTTTATATCAACGTTAGTTTATGTCCCCCAACCATCCTTTTAGTAAAAGTTTCATACGCCACGTTTGTGTGTTCTGAAATCCCAAACAAAATATTGCAGCGTTCCCCATTCTTCTGAAAAATTTTCGTCATTGTTAACGATTTCTGTTGTAGAAAAACCACGTCTGCTGGTATACACCCAAATCACCCCAGTCATAATCTGATTCGATTTCATTTGGATGAACACTCTGATAAACATTTGACACGCTACGACTTAAATAAAATAAATATGTTTTCAAACTGACATTAATCTCTCAATAATCCCATTTTTACGGCTTATCAAGTGTATGGGGTATATAGGGATTATGATAACAAGTAGAGGATATAGATAATCCCATCTTATCTGGATTAACACCACCTTGTCGCCTAGGTGACAGAAATCATGTGACAATGTTGTATTTGTTTAGTTGAATAATATGGTAAACAAACATACCATTATTATGGAAGCAGACGTAAAACCTCAACTAGTCAGACAGACCATTATTATTTGATAATGTACCTAAGTTTTAGGTCATATAGGGGGAGTAGGTGGGAGAAAATCAGCGATATCACTTCGGTAGAAGCGTACGTTAAGTAAATCTGTTTCACACACACGGGAGAACAATCATATATTGTGGTAGAAATGTCGAAAAAAGACGAATAGGTTTAACAAGTCGTCAACGCAATTCCTTGGCCATTTATAGACTACTATAACTTAAGGGGGGGGGGCGGTCATTTTTAGAGTACGATAACTTGAGGGAAGGGGGAAGCGGTGGAAAATTTGATCGGACATACCACTACACAATTGGTCAACAACACATTCTACCAGTAACTTTGAGTTGATCTACAGCACATTCTACCAGTAACTATGGGTGGATCTACGACACATTATATCAGTAACTATCGATTAGGCGGGTTGATCTGCAGCACATTCTATCAGTAACTATCGATTAGGTGGGTTGATCTACAGCACCTTCTACCAGTAACATTCCATTGGGTGGGTAGATCTACAGCACATTCTATCAGTAACTATTGACTGGGTGGGTTGATCTACAGCACATTCTACCAGTAAGTATCGATTGAGTGGGTTGATCTACAGCACATTCTACCGGTAACTACCTGCGGTAAGCAGGTTCCGGTTCAGTAGCGGCATTGGCCGAGAACGCTCATCGAGATTTTCAGCCTGGTTTCGCCTTGTCAGTGGTGGGTTAACATTATCCACAGAGATCAATTGTAGAGAAGTAGCGCATTCTTTGTCAATATTTCAGTTTGGTACAAATAGGTCAAAGACACCAAGCTGCCAGAGTTTTTCCATGTGAAAATATCATAAATGCTTGACACACATAACGTTTTAATTGCGATATTAATATGGTAATGGTATGTAAATTTGGTGCTCAAACTTCTTAAGTTAGTTATTGCAAAATATAAGTATGAATGGATATCACTTTATATTATCCAATATAATCTCTCATTTATGGTGGACATACATACAAAATATTACCAATATCTTTATTGATGTCTTGTCACGGCTCTTATTGATCTGATTATTAATAAAACTATTGTAATGGCCGTACTTTATGGACAACCAAAATTCCTACAACTGGGTAACATCAAAGTTCTTATAACACTTTGTCAACAATTTGTTAAGATTGGCGTTAATAAACATTCGTTAGACCTATACTATTGAAGCAATCTAAAAGCAATTTGTCAAAACATATAATACACAATGAGGGATCAGATTTACGGTGTATAGGCTTAAAGAGTATTTTGCCTTGAGGACAATACCTCCTTCCTACTAAGGGTTTCTATGTTCTCCGCCATTGTGGTTCTTCTGCTTCATTACCTGACTTATGAGTAACTCAATTAACGATAATCTTGTGATCTCTCACCTATAGCTATTAATAATATTATAATCTATTAAGTTATTTTATGTTCTTTATCCTATTGTTGTGGTATGATTCTGGTATAAGCCAGATCTAACGTTTTCCACAGTGCACGGTATCAGCTAACAATGTTCCTCGGGTTTTCGATGCGGGTTTACATTGTGAGTGGTGCTAGATGGAGGTTCTGGCAAGAAAAAGCTGGAAATCGAAATATGAATGGGCCGCAGCATCGCTATCAGGGTAAATTTGCTTTATAGCTCATACTAAATAGCCTTTTCCCGTCATCATTAACCCGTTTGGTTCAGAAAAGTAGGCCATTAAACCACATTTCATTCCACTTCCTTTCGTTTTTGCAGGTTTAAGTTGACACGTTTATATAAAAAAAACTTCCCCAGAATAACTAAACGTACGATAAAGTGATCAACGGGGCCATTCTTAAATAACTAAAGGAGTTTTTTTCCGGCTCGAGAGAGTCACGCCATGCACCCCACCCCCCCAGTTTTAGGACATCGATTATTACACTGGCGGAATGAAATAGGGGCGAGGAGCGTTTGGCCTATCACGTGCACTTTAGATCAAGGGCTCTCGCTTACATCCCGGCATCCTCTTTTCTTGGGACGTTTGATTTAGGGTATGTTATTAAGTGCACATTGCACTAACCAACTGGTGCCCATTTCTAGGGGGTGGGGGTGAATGGCTGAGTGGTTAGCGTGCGCGCGCTGTATCATAAAGTCTGTCAATGAGTCGACTGGCGTGGTTTCGAATCCCCGGTTGTATGTGACAAGGAGTAGGGTCGCCTGTTCAACCTCGTGGGTTTTCTCCGGGTCCTCCGGTTTCCTCCCACTGCTAAAGACCCCTACGCGCAAGCGAATTATTGAAATAAAATTAAAACCATATGTTAGTCGCGAAATGACCTAGTTTGTGTCGAGTGGACGTTAAACCCCATTTCTCCCCTCTCTCTCTCTCTCTCTCTCTCTCCCATTTCTAGGGAGTCGTGATGATACAGAGAGTAACTTACAGGGACCGGGTTACAATTCCAGTGCTGGCAAATTCATCAAGTTTTTCAGTGTTGATTCCGCTTGTCAAAAGCGCATAACGGATGGTCTGACTAGGAAAAGCGTGTAGTCGCTAGGATGGGACGAAAATCCGAGATAAAAGATCCCTTGGCAGTTGGAATTCGATCAAAAGTAGACAGAAACGCCGCGGTCCCGGCAAAATTGCCTTCACAGTAAACTGCATGGCATATGTCCATCTTCATGAGCCCGTCTGTTACAGAACAGTTAGACGTTGCTGAGTAGGGTGGATATTAAACTTTCTCTCTTTCTCTCACAAATAAGAAAATGAACATGTATAGTTTAATTAGACAAATTTTTTATTATTTTCCAGTGTGGATTTGAAGATTTGATGACAGAAATGTTGTATTTTGTATAAAAAGAGTTAATTAATACAAACAGATTAATATAAATTGTTTAGATTTCGTTCAGCAAGCAGACTTAAATGGATAAATAGGAAGGTTTACAACTTTTACATTAAACGACAGTCTAAATATCTATAATAATATTAGAACTTTCCCTATTGAGATAAGGCTAACTCTTTTTAAAATACCCAATACCGCTTAACATTTATGTTGGAAGCTTAATTTCTATTGTGTCTGTCTTCATTAGTCCAGTCGGAGCTGAACAGCAGGACGTTAAACCCCATTTCATTTCATTTCATTTTTATTGGTACATTTGCAATTCACATTAATCTGTTACCATAGACTATTGCCATAACTAAGGAGATGTGGCAAGCAAGGTGTATGTATTTTCATGGGTGCTACTTTTAATTGGACCGTGATAGTAATTTGAATTTCGTAGACATTGAAGACCGCCGTTTTAATATCGATTAGGTGTTTGAAACAATAAGTATATAATATGTCATAAGGTGGTAGGTTTATTATAAATATACAATGATACATTGGCATGGTTAGACATAAATAAAGAAAATAATGTACAAAATTCTTGGTTTAGACAGAATTTTATCTGAAATGCTCTTTGGAAGAAATATATCATAGTTGTAACTTAAGAAATGTCACCCACAAATTATCTCATTTTTACATAATATTGAAATAAACAGCTTGAAGTGGTCTATCAACTTGGTATAATATAAAGCTATATTCCCTGTACCGTCTAGAAAGGTTTTAGAAAGATTTTTTTCTACAAAGAAGATTCTTTATGTTCGAATAATCTTTTTGCCTTAAATACGGCAAGATTGTAGAATATTCTTTAACTTCGATTAATCTTTTTGCCTTAAATAATTCGTCACATACTTATTAAAAGTCTCTTTTTGATATCGATATAATATATGTATATTGATCAATTTCCTTGAGTTTTTCCGGCTTGATTTCGGATCAGCCCAAGCTATATGGCGCCATTTACACAGTAGTGGTGAATGTGGTGTGCGTAGCAGGCTATACTTATACTTTTTAAAATATATATAACCACCTCTTGAATATTCGGGAAATTCGCATGCCTAATTGTTTTTAAAAATTGAAAAACAGATCTAACAAAACCTGTAAATATGTATCAAAATTTGGAATACAGGGCAACCCGGTCCAAAAACATAACACATATCAACATAACATAATGAACACTTGAAATTTTAATAACACCATAAATTTTAGCATCTAATAATATTGAACACCTTTAAAAAGTTATACAAAAAACTTGTGAAGCGACCATTATTATGCATTTCAAAATCAGCCAATTAAAATGGTTCCTCAATGAATATGCGGACCTTGCATAGTTTTTATAGTTCGGGCACTACAATTACCATACGTTAATTCCCTGAATATTTCGTATTAAGTACACCACTGCTTTATAGCAGTTAATATCATATGAGGTAAACTGAAAACTGTTTTGATTTATTTGTTGGGTTTTCTCTTTTACACAAAACGAAATAAAGTCAATGTTTTCTTTCAAGAACAGCGTTTGGAAGTTCTGCATCATATGTATAGTTTTCATTTTATTTTTTTCAAAAAGAATTATATATCAAAAATAAATGAATACATAATAAAACAATGTTACTTTTCGAAAGAAATATTCAGTTATATATTATATGATTTTACAAGTAACACAATAATATGAATATTGTTAATTCATTATTTAAAAACATAATAATATTTTTGTTATTACATTAGAGTACATGTTCAATAATAAATAAATAGTATACCTCTTTTCTTTAAAAAAAAATCTATAATATCAGAGGTTTACAAGTAAGGAAACCCTCAATATATGTTAAAGGCACAGCCCTCCATGTTTCATTAAAGCCTTAACGACCAAATAGTCTGATCCGCCATCTCTTCAATATCTATGAAGAGCGGAGAACGTTATAAGACATATGTAATATAAGTGTCTTACGAAAATATTAGCTCTCCATACCGGCTAATTTAGACCAAACATTCTTCTGGCACTACTCGAAAGAGAGATTACTCCCTCAGCCTGTTATAAATGTAAAGTATTCTCCGTGGTATATTCACTGTTTCAATACAAAAGACTAACCTGTGGAGAAAAGAAACAAGAACACGACTATTCTAATTTCATTAAAAAACATTAGATTATAAATATACAACATTGAATATTGAAATATAATAATATATACATATTAGAGGTAACTTTACATAGCATGCAACACAACTTCAATATCATTAAACATAATATGCTTCGCGGAGCTGATTGTTGCTTCGCGGAGCCAGTTGCTTATATTATTATTTCTTCCGGAAGACGAACACATTTTAATATAGACATCTGGTCTTCTTCTTTAACCCACAATCTTCTTTCTTGCAACGTTTCGCTAAGGTTTATAACACTATGTCATAAATGTGCTTCAATAACAAAATACGGAAAGCAATAGATGGCATAAATCTATTGCTTTTTTCACAGTCACAACATCGCAAAAGTTTGTTCATTTTGTAATTGTGAGTTAGTGTTAATATATGAATTAACGATAATATGATGGCTTTACTTTTACCCTTTAATTAAAGAGACCTTATTGGTGGCATAGTGTGTGTATTTGTTTGTAAGTTTTGTATATTTACATGTGTCTCGATTGTCATGATCCTCTGTTTTAATCTTATCTCCCAGTCAATACAACAATAGAATCCGCATAACTGTTCCATATCTTATGGGAGTATAATTCTCACACCTTAAAAACTCCAATCACTTCACAAACAAAGCTTTTAAAAAAAGTCTTTTCCCGTAATTGTGTATTGTTATGTGTTTTCTTTTAAAACAAAACGTCTTTAAAAAGAGATATAACAATGTAACGAATATATATATAGTTTTTAAAATAATATTCATCGCGGCATTTGTTTGTCTCTGTAGTTTATTTATTTAAAAACTTGCACCTCGCACAACACAGCACTGAATAACCGGCTCCAGCTATTTGGAACACCCCAGGCCTCTATTAAAACGTAACGTCCCGTGTGACGTCGAATACACTGTAATATGAGTTTTTGGTGAAACAGTGCATTGTTTAAACTGGAAACGTAATTACACATATTTCCGGATGCATATGATTCGTCCTCCTCCCTCAAGTCTTCGTCAATATACACAACAAGTTTATCGAGGTTTTTCATATATTCTCTAAACGATTTACCACCTTTCTCTGAAAATACAAAATTATAAACATTTTAGTTGATTAATAAAGTGACAAAATGAAATGAAATGGGGTTTAACGTCCTACTGTTTTGCTCCAAACTGGGCTAATGAAGACGAGGGGCATACAGTGTGCTATGAGGGAAATTTTGCCCGGACAGCGGCACTACGACCTACTCTTATATCGAATTCCAACTGTCAAGGGATCTTTTACGAGCACGCCAATGTGTACACGGGACTTCGGTTTTTCGCCCTATCCGGACGACTAGACAGCTGTCCATGTCAGGCCTTCCGTCCTGCATCACTGACAAGGGGGAACCACGCCGGAAAATCTCGGCCAATGCAGGGATCGAACACCCGACCTCCAGGCTAGCGGGCCAGCGTCTTACCTACTTAGTCACCGTGACCCCCGATTAGTAAAGTTAATAGCACATACTGTGAATAGGTACTTTATAAGATTAAAATGTTGAAACCGACATACAACAACTTATCTGTCCATCTTCAACCCAGGGAATTTCACTCATCTTAGAACTCTTTCATCTCATTTTGTGTACCCCGTCTTCATTAGCATAGTCGGTGGATTACAGTGGGACATTATCCCCCATTTCATTTCATATTATGTACAGTCAGATCGTTTAACAGATGCTAGTTGTTCGGATGGTACGAAAGACTCCTTGGCAGTTGGAATTCGATATAAAAGTAGACCGTAGCGCTGCTGTTCGGCTTATGTCCGTCTTCATTAGCCACTCAGAGCAGAAGAGCAGGACGTTAAACCTCATTTTATTTCATTACATGTTTAAAAAATACCGCGGTATTTTGTTTATTTGCATATACAATCAATAAACCTACCTTGTCCTTCACCTTGCCAGGTATAAATGATAACACCTGATACCTCTGTTGTGTCACCTAGATCTACCGTCCATACTGGATTATCACCGTACAGATTATCTAAGAATGTACAACCCTGTAGATTCAGATCCATCACACCATCAACGGCTCGTGAAGCATGACCTTCTGTCAGGTGATTCCGGATATGACGTTTATAGTGACGTTTACTGTTGATCCAACTTTCTTTCTTGTAGGCGAGATTCTCGACTGTAATGAAAAGATATACGGTTCTTGAGATAGAAGAAACCCGTAAACCTAATAAATATTGCCAGATTTGATCTCGAATACGTTTTGGATGATTGTCACTGGTTGGAGTTTACAATCGAGTTTGCGAACATTTCCTTATAGCAACAAATACATAGGTTATCCGACTGGATAGACACATTTTAAGGAGTGTTTTGAAAAATAATAATTTATGTTAGTCATATCTGACTTCGTCGTGTCTGAATTGGAAACGCAGCCATTATATTGTGAACCCAGACAACTGCCCCGGATCCGATATCAGACAAAGGATCTTTCAATCCCGAGGGTCTTACACCTAGCTTAGATAGTGAGAAGGAAGTAAGCAGAAATATGTTACATTGTTAGGTTTTTGTGGATCAGGCCGGGGATTCTGACTGGGAATGGTTTCTCTCAGTATTACTTACCACAAGGTGTGTCATCATTAACTCTCATAAAACCATCAGTACAAATACCTAATAAATTCAAACAAAGGCAATTTTAATAACATATATTTAATAGTTGCAAAGCAGTTCTTCATGTAGTGGGGGTTTTACGTCCGCAGGTGATATCGCAGGCAAGCACAAAGCAGTTGCTTAGCGCTTGTATTGTATCAGGGATAAAGATCTTTGGCTTTGCTTGTGGTTGGCTCCTTTTCATTAACCCGGATGGAGGATTGGCTTCACACATCTAATCTCTGGCCTCTAGATTCAGGGGGTTACACACCCTATTTGTGGGTTTATGAGCGGAGAATACTGGAATGCTCTAGTCGACCTCTGGCTAGAACACTGTTAAAAAGCAGAGTGATTATTCTTGATAAAAGCGTTTTATTCGAGTGGTTGGGTCAACATCACAATAAGCAAAACAGAAGAATGGGAAATTAACAACTTATGATCAACATTAAAAAAAAACGATCATGTAAAAGAACTTTCACGTGGGCGGGCAGTTATTGAAGAACATACAGATCTTCTCTTACCCCCTCCCATACCTGTTTAATAGAAATCTTTTCTTCTTAACACGCCATGCTTACTGTAGCAAGGTTACCTACATGTACCTATTCTTTTCTTGGCAGTACTATATAATTACAAGTTTGTGTTGAAAGATGGATAAGTGCCATGATTAACATTAATCCTTTCTTGTCGCGAACCTCCTTTAAAACCCCAAAATTATATCTTATATACATTTGTCCTGCTCTTTCTATTCAAAACGTCAAAACAGCAGACTTGTAGGTTTGGGTCGGCCATTGTGATCAAACACCATGTCAACATGTCAACCAGAGAACTAAAGATGGAGGATATTGTCATGGTGATACGAGATCCAACAGATTAATGCTATTTAGAAACAAGTCCCGAGGAATTCGAGGTTACTCTTTTGTTATTATGAAATAAAATGTTACCTACATGAACAAATCGTCATAGGGAGGTATTAGCTTAACTATCTGGTGGCCGATCAATGCGCGGCGGAGTAATTACTGTGTAACAAGAGAGATGACAGCCTATTATACATTATGAAATGTTGTTACTGCAGAACAAGAGAAGTACTAGACAAATAATTTCTAAAGGCAATGATGGTGTCAGCATGGTAAGTGGTGACAAGATTTTCTTTTAGTTTGTCGTTGATAAAATGATTGCTTTATATAGCTCATGCTGACCACAATAGTTTACTATGGAAAGTGGTCCTTAGCCCTATGATATAAGCATTGCGCAGGGGGTCTGTAGTGAACAGTCTTAATGGGGAGATTTTACTTTACACAGGTTGCTTGTAGAAAGTCATCACAAGATTTTGTGTAGTGAATTTCTTGTTGCTCGTATGAGGAATTCGGCTGATCTTAGTCAGACGATCGGCCAATGTCCAAATCAGTATCGCCGGATAGCTCGCCCCGACCCCTTCTCCACCCCGGCGCCACTATTGCAAAATCTCTCTATATGTGACAATTCATGATAGCTTTATACTTTGTCATATCAGCAGATTCTTTGTGCTGTAGTACCACCTAGTATTATTGTATACCAAATCATATTGGTTGTGTACTACGTTGTCTTTATTCCCGAATATTGTTTGGGTATTACGTTGTCTTTATTCCCGAATATCACCAACTGAATACATTACCTGTAAACGGGCAGCCGAGAAGACCAACTCGCATACTGATACGCCCTTTCCATTCAATAGGATGAAATCGGATGTACCGAGAAACGAATGGCGAATTCAGGAAATGTGTTCGAACAGAGTTCTTGTCGTTGTTTCCTCCAAAAAGCTAATTATAATAAAACAAATAAAAAAGATTAGCATGATGCGTTAGCCGGTGCGGCGCTAGCGCCAAACTGCACGATGCAAAGATGCAATGTGACTACGACCAAGTGAAGTGCGCCATCTATTTCCGGTCTACCCATGCCATACGATGTTCCATTCATGCCCGTGAGGTAGGGTACACACAAAGTGGTGACGTGCGTGCTGGTAAGGATGAATCGGTGAAGGTCACGTGCCGCTAGGTTGTGGAGTGCTGGTTTATTATGGAGTGTGGGTTTGGAGTCTGTTAATATTTTTTGGCATCATGCAGGCATCAGATAGAATAGGAAGAGGGTTAATAATTCAAATTAGAATGATGTAAGGGGAAGGTATTGAGTGCAGGACATGCTTGGAAAAGAGAATGAGACCACTTTAGTCTCATCATGCAGAGAGAATATACATGCTTGGTCAGTGAGAGGAAGTGCATTCAAAACTCAGACATGCGCACAAAATATTATTATGAGAAAACTTGTATATTATAGAATTGACATTAAACAAGCATATTATATACACAGAAGTGACATTCCTTCATTCAATGTTTAATAAGTTACATTCAATTTATGTTATTAAAAGCCCTTTCATAAAACAAGCTCATGTTCTTATAGAAAACACAGCAGGCAATACAAGCAGGAAACATTTCAATTAAAGATATTTCATAAATACGAACTTCCAAGATAAACAATTACTTCATTCCGTAAACCCGAAATTTTAAAATTAAGTATAAACACAACAATTTGTTGATAAAATAAATTATATTAAACCCAAATAGATAACCCAAATAGATATACTATAGTTTGGGATTACTTTACAAATTCAATGTCTAATTCAATCTATAAATTAGCCTCAATTGCGACTTGGGATTTCGTATTTTGTTTCCACTGCCCGATTTAGATGGTTGTCAACTCAAAAGATGTATTTCAGTGGTAATCCCGTTCTTAAACCCGAGTAAATCACGTAATAATCTGTGAACACAAATTGCGAAATATTTTAATTTTAGAATATAACATTTTATAATACTTTTAACGATTTGACAGGTAATCAAAATTCGTCATTGTGCTAGAAGTATTAACATACGCCTTATTTAAACGTACATTACAATTATTGCAGTCTGTTCATTGGCTGAGCTCTAAGATCATGGCTCAGTGTTTATCTCTAAACCAATGAAAAGGCTGGATTCTTCAATATTTTAGTCGTTGTTTTCATTTTAAAAACAGACAAACATATTTGTTTTCGAAATTCGACCATAAAACAAAATGGTAAGTTTAAAAAAAAAAAAAAAAGCGCGGGATTACCACTTTGAAAAAAGAGAAACTGTCACGTGACAGGAGAGCGGGCCACCTGTTAGTGAGCTTACCAGACCGTCTTCGGAGTATTTATCAGGTATTAAATTTGAGGAAGTTGTATTAATCGATGGACTCCATAGCCACTGACTCTACAAAAGGAAGAGATTTTGATTATCAAATCTTGCTATGGACTACCACTTTATCCACAATCTCGCGTTTTTTCTCCAGGCAGCGTCATTTAACACGAGAACAGGGAGGTAACTCGACACTTTATGACCGACGATTTCAACTCTGTGTTACTGTTTTCTTAGGAAGATTCAAAGTTCTACGCCCGCACAACGTTCGTTAAAAACTATATTTATTTAATTTGTATGCTTTAATCCTATAAATTAATATACTAGTTTTTCAGGTCGTTCTACTTAAAATTACGTACATATTTCAAAACTACTTCACTTAAATACTAAATAACTTTGATTATTTCAGGGGAAATCAATCACTCTCGAGTGGTTTTAGATTGACTACTTCAATGTACATGTACCTAATTTCAACGAGTGGCTCCAAGAGACGATTATGTTGGGCTTTTTATACGCCTAGAATATTATAGTCTCAAATATTACAAAAATTAAGAGAAGGTTAGGAAAAAGAGATTTGATTAAGTTTTAAAGAAATAGCGTTAAGAGAAATCGGTTATTTGTTAACAATTATTGTTAAACAGAAACCAAGAGTTTCACGAATTCTTATGACTTTGTTATTTTAGTCAGTTACTTACAAGGCGCGCCAAATTGTTCAATTTTCAAAATATAAAATGCATTTTGAAATGTACATTGAATATGTGATTTGAATTTCCGATCTATTTAAGCCCCTAATTCCCTGTTGCAAGCTGTCTACGGTATGAATATATAATATATATTGTATATATGTACATGTTGAAACAAACTAAAAATAGTTTTTTGAAAGATTAATTCAACAAAAGAAGCAAACAGCATAAGATATAGGCCTACTTTCGATTTTATAGATTTATTCCCACGGATATATATAAGAAAATGTAAACATAAATAGTGTAAAACTAGAAGAAAGAAAGTGAATTGATTTTTCGTTAATACAGAGTCGTTATCGGCAGTAAGTTATTAAAAAACAAAACAAATAACGCATTTTGCTAGCTTGGGCCTGCGATTTTCGCATTTTAAAAACATATTTATGCAGCGAAAATATGCGAGTACAGCGAATTGTACCTTTTGCTCGCGCGTCAATTGCGCTCTTTTGTTCCTGAAATGCAACTAAAGATTTAATACATATAAACATCAAAAACAGAGTCATGAAAATTGCTAATATCAATGGGTATATGCACTTCAATGAATACAGGCGCCATCATTTATGGTTTCATATTAAAAGTCATATTGATTGGTAACAATCGTAAAAAAAAACCTGTTCAAAAATTATAATTCGCCAATGAAGCCATAATGAATATAATTTCGAATGATTTGTAAACAAATACACAAACTTCTCTTATATTTGCTTGTAATATAGATTTGATGATACAGCACAATAAATTATAATTTCGCAATACGACATTTACATTAAGGCATATATTTAAGCGATTAATCAATCAATTGTAATGCATATACCCTCGCTGTAAATTCCTCACCCAATAGTTTTAAGACAAAGCGAACACTATCTCTTTGTTTACATACATATTAGGCGTTACCCACAATATTACAGGATTCCATATAAACCCACTTGAACTTGAGCCTCAAGAATTTTACAGTGGACATAGACTTAAGGTCGAATCTATTGAGACGGTCACATAAGCCAGTTGAAATACAATCCATTTCACACATACGGGCTATTATTTATCTTCATATGGAGGGTCCCGCCATAAAGCCCATTAGAGCCCCGTGTAGGGTGACTCGAGGTACAAACAGAAGGGCAGCTCCGGCCATCTTACCTATAATTTATATGTCAATATTGTTCTAGCAAACAATTATGAACTTATCGCGCTGTATTTAATACGCTTATTAGGTGGCCCTTGTAGTTTCTGAAAGGTGTGGAAATCGCCTTCTGAATGGACATTGTGCGTCTATTGGGACTAGGTCACGTTTGCTAAGAAGTGATTGACATTATATATTTGAATGGTCAAGTCGAAAATCAATGTAAGACCGTGTCTTAAACGGTTAGTACCAATAATAAGTGGGTGTTAAGATCCCGAGGAAGTATCGTTGTGTTTCATCACTCAGTTCGATACGATGATGGATATATCGCTTATCTGGTCATTTTCATGTTTGAATTTCCGACTGCTATTGATTTATTAGGCCATGATAAAAAAAAAATAAAGCTGCTTCCAGGCATCAACTATGATCAATATGTAGATTCCAAACATGTTCCAAGGCTTTTCAAGTATTCAAAATTTCAAAAGTGATATGAAAGAATTTGCGCTATAGATTCTTGGAAATTTTGTGGGATTTATTTTCACACAACCCCGCAAGACAGTCTAATCCTAATACTGGACATAAGAATTTCCATACGTCTCAAAAGTCAAAAGAAGCGCTTAGCTGTATTTATGTATTCAATATAGCCCTACAGCTAAGAAATTCCTACCTTAGGATCTAGATGATGTGCGTCTTTATAGAAGTACCAGACTTGAGTGTCATTACTGTAGCTAATCTTAAACCTTTCTACCCAATGTTTTCTCTTGGTATCACCTCTACCTTTGGATATAACACCAGTAATCAGAGTTGGTGGACCAACATCAATCTGCATCCATTGGTTTGCTAAAAACAGAAAATTTAGAGTTCTATGAAAAGTTTCGCCATATTTAATTTGACCTTTAAATCAACAGATCCTGCAAAGGAGATGATCCCTATATTATGAACCTTCATTGAAATACATAGGGTCACCCACCCCCCGACCCAACAGATATTGAAATGTAGTCTTCATATAGATGCGAATGGATTTAATATTCACATTATCAAAAAGAGTCATTTCGTAATGTTACCTTCTATTGACATTGGCTTGGTTAATAATGACTCTATTTAAATGAATGAATGAAATTTTAATGAGGTTTAACGTCCTACTTATCTGAACCAACCGGGATAATGAAGACGGGGTGTTATTGTCGAGGCCTCTAAATTAATGTTTGGACACGGTATATATCTGGCATAAATATGCTAATGGATTTATTAAATAAGTCATTTCGTTACTTCTTCTTACAAACCATTTTTTTTTATTACCCCACAATTTACTGTCGAGTAAAAGTAGGTTTTGACAGCTATACTTCATTTGAAATCAAATACCACAAGATCTCATGTACGTCATCAAAATCATGTCACGATTTCTCCTCAATGAATATGGCACATTTAAAATTTAATGGATATCGTTGTTGCATATTTGCCTTCTTTGTGTCAGTTTTACAGTTATTTGTATAGAAAAAGCACCGATCGACAAATATCACACCTTAAAGTGCAAATATCTTGAATGAATTAAGAAATGGGTTATGTACCGTGACATGTTTCAGGAATGTTTAAGACCACAGAAACTCAATTTTAAATTAACTCTAGGGTGTTTATATCTTATGAAACAATTAATACAACTAATATTGTAAAAAAGGGGAAAATTTCGTCCATCATATGCAATATACATTTATCTTTGCAGACGCCATGAAATACGATCCATGCAGACATGACAATCTGTGAAATATATTATCGAAGTTAAAATCAGTATTGATTACAGCAGTATAATGCATATGAAGTGGATAAAATATTATAGTACTAGTCACTAATTATAGTAACTAGGGGTGTGTCTCTATGTCAGTCCTTCTATCGTTGGAAAGTATCGGGTACCACTCATAACCCAAACGGTATTCAATTAACAGAAAAATATGAAAATGCTCGTCAACGTTCAATAAGGTGCTTGGTCGTTTGACTCTAGTGTTATGGTGTGAATATCAACACGCGTAAAGAGTTCATACAACTGCTCACGACTCCCTGCTATATTTTTACTCAGTGACGTCTTACTCCGTCTCCAGCATGCCCCCTCCTCTTAACTATAATCTCTTTATTATTAAACATTGTCAGATCATACCTTCATACTTCAACCCTGAGCTGATTACCGAGTACGACATATAAAAAAGAAATAACCAAAATTAAAATAAACGCCATTGTTAGAAATTATACAGGTATATGTACAGGGTCAAATTGTATTTAAATATATGGAAATGAAATGAAATGAAATAGGGTTTAACGCCCTACTGTTCTGCTCCGACTAAGCTAATGAATTAATAGAACACAATTTTTATGGGAAACAATCACTGGTTTATTCTAAAAGCACGACGTTTCGACAAGCATTGTGCTTGATAACGATAAGAGGATACTTGTCGAAACGTCGTGCTTTTAGAATAAACCAGTGATTGTTTCCCATAAAAATTGTGTTCTATTAATGTGTTTTCCAATCGCTAAATGCCACTTAAAGATTAAGCTAATGAAGACGGGCATACGCCATACAGTGTGCTATGAGGGAAATTTTGCCCGGACAGCGGCACTACGGCCTACTCTTATATCGAATTCGAACTGTCAAGCGATCTTTTACGTGCACGTCAATGTGCACACGGGACCTCGAGTTTTCGTCCCATCCGAACGAATAGACAGCTGTCCTTGCCAGGCCCTCCTTAATATATGGATGGTAGATTTTTTTTTAGTCGTGAATAATATTGATATATCACATAAACAATAGTTAAGAAAGGATTCTTGAGCACGCATTAGTTATCAAATTTGATTAAAAATTAAACTGAAAAGTCCTGCTTTCAAGTAAATTATTTAGGGCAAAACGTAAGTAATAAAACTAAAAATATAATTAACATTTTCTCTTTAAACAACCATTAAAACAGGTGGGTTAATGCCCAAATTAAAAGACATAAAACAATTCGTCACACGTTTGGGCTTAACTTAAATTTCATTAATAAAACCTGTCTGTTTCTTTCTTAAAAAAACTAACAACATATAATCACTCATTCTCATACAGTCATAGGTTGCTGCAGTGAATACCTCAACATCTACAAAAAACAGCGTGTCGCTCGGAGGGATGCGTCAAGGTGACATTCCTCGTCCTATTTTATTCATTGTTTTTGATGATATAAAGGGACAGATGAACTGGGGTGGAAATTATGCTACATAAAAATGTACACATTCCATTTTTATAGGCGCTTAAGTCAAAATGCGACACACGTGGGGATTTTAATAACCAAGACACTAAGATGAAAGGATTCGAGTGATATCCAGCTAGGTTGGTTTGAATTCAAAACCCCAGTGGACGAACAGTGACCGCCTTGGTTGAATTACAACGGTTCTATAATTGATTCAGAGATTTCTGAAAATGTATGTTTCGGATTTGGTGTTTTCTTGTTTTTAGTGACAATTATATCTAGAATAATCATTATGAATACAATTGATTAAGAAGGTTCTAACAAAGTTAATTTTTATTGAAAAATAATGGTTTTGATTTAGTGTGTTTTTGTGCTTAGTAGCACAAACATCTAAAAAATCAATATCAAGACAGGTCTAACGAAATTCAATATAACGTTCGAATGGACTGTCCAAATATGTGCTGTGTTCTGGGCGCCAACATTAATGAAATACAACATAGCATATATACGCCATTTTAGCCAACAATTGAAGATCGGTCAAATGTATCGTATTCATAGGGAAATGTTAACTATTAACATCCATTATAATGTGGTATATTTCTAAAAGAAAAAGATGATAAGATTCCACAACAAGGATAATAATCATAAAGCCATTTTGCCCCCCCCCCCCTTCCATATAGAAACGAACACGACAGGAAACATGTTTTACCTTTTTTGATTCCAAGGGAACCCGGAAACATTGTTCTAAAATCTTGCCCTGTATTTTTTTTTAAATGTAACAAAACAATGAATGTTACACATCAATTATTACCAAGTGTGTTTTTTTTTATATCATACAATATGGCGGGGTTCAATTCCCTGTATCGGGTGACACCGTCCCTTGTACCCTCGGTACAACTATTTTATCTGCCTTATCATCTATATGCATAGTTAACCTATTCTCTGTCCAAGATCATCTAGATACGATGAAATGGCATACTTGAAATATTGTTGACGTTTATTTCTAATAAGCTACATGAAGTCTTTTATAACATTAGTATTCATGTAAATATTGGCTCCACAACTATCACACGTGGTACGGTAACCAGTTATATGCTCTTTATAGAAGATAACTATTTTGTTGCTCAGCCGGGTGGAAAAAACATATATGTTCAACAGAGCAAGGAAACCATATTTTGCTTGTATCGTTTTTTTGCGACATATGGTCAACCAGCTGCATGCAAAATAGGACAATTTATATGGAAACATATGGAAATCGCCATTAGCTAATAAACAGAACCTATGGAATGTTGTTTAAATTATCGCCAACGTAATATTTGAAATTCTGGCTTTCTCTCCCCACCTGCATGTTTAAGAAAAGACAATTTAAAAAGAAAGAAAAAAACATATGTATCCCACACTCTCCATTAATTATTTTATATATCAGCTTGCATCGTATTTTGTAATATTTCGAATGCGAGCTTAAGATTATCTGGTTTTTGGAATTAGAGAGAGAGAGAGAGAGAAATGGGTTTTAACGTCCACTCGACACAAACTAGGTCATTTCGGGACTAACATATGGTTCAATTTTATTTCAAACAGGGAATCGAAACCACGCTAGTTGACTCAATAACAGACTTTATGATACAGCGCGCACGTGCTAACCATTCAGCCATCCAACCCCCCTTTTGGAATTAGAAGAGTTGTAGGCATATTTTAGTCCAAAAAAGATCAGACATTAAACTCTTAAATTCCATTACATTCATTCGCAACCCATGTGTTTGTGTTAAGTTTTTTCAGTTTGATATTGTGTGGCGCGGTTTTTCCGGGGTTTTTTTCTGTGCGACACAAACCCCTTGTATTTACTATTGGGCCAGGTAAACAGAACGGCTTAAACCCATTTTAGATAGGCGGGGTACAAGGTGAATATAATTAATTAAAGATTAATACACCCATAACTACCAACAAAATATAAATATACAATAATAATAATAATCCACATTCCGATACAGTTCTTGTTTACAAACGTTTTGAAAGAAGAGACTATTTCCATGAAATTAATAATAATGTATTACCTCGAAATGACGTTATTGAGGCTTACACGTTGTTTTCGAATATTAATACCGCCCGGGTATTGTTCAGAAACAAAACTATATTCAATTTTGAAAACCCAACACCTACGCAACATTCCAGATGGTCATAATCTCTATTGTCAATGATGCCAAATGATGTCTTCATAATCAAAAACACGAAATGATAAAAACGTACAAGTATGCTATAAGAGGGGACCCTTTATTTTGCATACAAAACGAAAGGCTATTAAATTCGTTATTACATTAGAATGACGTTAGTTTGTGTGTCAATATTTTCTAATATTAGTATCATTAAGTCATTGTTTACAAGATTGAACTTAGGGCGTTGTCATAATAAAGAATATCAAAAATTCCTCTAAATAAAAAAAAAACCCACAAAGAGACACGGGTAAATTTAGTTAAGCGCATAAAAGGAGCTGGGTACGAAACGGTTTAGCGTATAATACGACGGCTTTGACAAGCACTCCAAAGGCTGATGAATCGTATTCGGCAATATGCTTCTATATGTACAATTTCTATTCGATGGTTGTTGAGAAAATTACTTGTAATTGTTAATGGAAAA